TAATCTTATTGTTTTTAAAAAATGAACTCCTTAAATTTGGAGGCCTAAGACAATTGCCTTATTTTTTAGTCTGTTGAGCCGCTCCTGGGCCACATATTAAATTGCCCTTACTCCAGATATTCAGCCTTGGACGTGAGACAGCGTAATGAGTCCCACATCACTGGATAAGGAGAATTTGAACTCTTTATATGGTTTCTACAATCTCTCCTTTTAAATTAGTAGTTTTTTTTTTTGAGTTGAATTAGTCTCAAGTTCGAGCTATTAATGTGTAAAGTGAGGGATAACCATTGATAGATAATTTACTTTCTCTAGTGCTTTATAACAACACCATAATTAAACATACAATAGTACGTAGGACATCTAGTTCGTGAGATATTTGAGCAATATTTTTATATAAGTGAAAAATTTGTGATGTTGTTAATAGGTATACAATCATTGTTCTTGTTACTGTATATGGTAAGTTTGTAGGATGTGGAAAGGGTCATTTCTAGTGGTTCCTCTATTTGGGACATCAAATGTCATGTCAAAATTTGAAGTATTGACTATATATAAACATGATCAAGAGTTCTAAACTTATGACATAATTAAACAATAATTGTAACACGAGTAGCATGTCAATTAGGTGGGATATCTGAAACAAATATTACATAATATAAAAAGATCATCATAGAGATAAAACACAAATCTTAATAGTCGTCTACTTTTATTAGGGACCAATACATTTTTTTGAATTTTACTTTAGGCTCTCCTAGAGTAAAGAATTTTTATAGCCGTGTTGTTCCTAGTTTATTTGCCTCTTTGTAGACATCGCTGAGCCTTTACTTGTTGAGTGACTACCCTTTTTTTTCCTTTTTCTGGCCGTGCTGTTCGAATCAGCTTTTGCGTACCTTAACTGATTTCACGGGATACTTGTCATCTCCTACTAGGAACATGTACCATGTAAATAGTAATAACTTTGAGCACCAAGACTAGAAGAAATGAAAAGATTCACCGAGTGTTTTTGTCTTCGCGAGATCTCATTACTCTCAACCACTTCATTGACCACTATGCCAAACGTAATCCTTGGATGCCGTGTGACTAAACTTACAATATCTTACATGAAAAATATTATGTACAAGACTTAAAAGGGGTAAAAGGTTCTTAGAATTTGTAACCCTGGTATGTAATACACTAATTACATATAATCTACTTAAAATACTCATGATGTTTCGTCTGGCTATCTTTTATATCAGTATAGATATCGAATAACTTTGTTAGAAAAAAAAAAAAAGGTCATTACCTTCCAAGATAAATATAGCTCAAAGCCTCCAACAAGTTGATAAAGGAAATAAGTAGGACATTAAGTGTAACGCATGCATTGCCAAAAGATAGAAAGGTATGTCAGAATAATTATTGAAGAGTTGAAGTCTTAATATAATGTAGGTCGCTATACCATAGAATGCACATGCTTTGTTGCAGGCTACCATCTCTCCACCCACCCACCCCCCACACCCAACTTGTTGCCTTCTTTAAAGATCTTTACACAGGATTTGTTATGCACCTTATCTTCATCTTTCTAAAAACAATTCACTCAGACTCCAATAACATATTCAGTATAATTTTATAAGTGAAGTTTGAGAAGGAAAAGACGTATGTACGTAAACAATTACCCTTATCTTTATAGAATAGAATGATTATTTCTGATATTAAGACAATATAAAAGTTCTTTTAGAAACTCCCTTTGTTTCGATCTGTTTGTACACTTCTAATCTTAAACTAAAGATATGTATCACATATCAAGATCCTTTAATCTTATGATCTTAAACATACACGTCATGTGAAATTTGAAACAAATTAAAAAAGAATGTAAGACAAATAAATTAAAATAGAGGGAATAATATTTTATTTTAAAAATATAATCCGTTTTAGGTGTGTTAGAGTGGTTAAAGTTCCATATTGATTAGGAAATAGACAGACGGTCTGCTAATTACAGCATGCATTTGAACAATCCTCTTTTCATAAGCTAGCTTTTTGAGGTTGAGTTATACCGTGAAAAAGGGCATGAATCAGGGGCGGAGCCATTATAAAGAGTTTGGGGATTCTAAATTTCCTTTAGAACTGTCAATCAATTTTGTTAGGGGTTCACAAACTAATATACATATATATTTAATTAATTTTTCTAATACAAATACAATGTCTACAAAAACGTTAATAGATTCATCTGAACCCACGAAACTCCACCTAGCTCTGCCTCTTGCATGAATGATGAAAAAAGAAGGGGAAAAGGTGTGACAAATCTTGAAAGATATGGAAAATTGGAAGGGGGCACGAGTTGATGTAAAATGAAGAAAATGATTTTTTTGTTTTAGAAGGAGAAAAGGAAGTTGTGGGAGGTGAATTGTTCAACTTGAAGTGTACTCACCAATTAAAATCAAAACTCAGAAGATACTGATAACAACCAAGATCTTGAATGATTGGAAAATATGATACTATCCTTCCATTCATGTCAGTCCACTATTTTACTTTACTCTAATTAATTTATTACTGCGCCGCACTTTGTTTTTTAACCTCCCCTTGTAGGAATTCTCAAACGGAAAATATATATTGTTATACTATGAAATTAGAGTTGATTTAGGCTATATATGTAGCCATTTCAACCAATGAAAAAAAATTGTCAATATTTTTCAATATCAAATGCTATTAGGTAGTCGAATGACTTTTCTCTTCCTAATTGGAATATTTATTGATTTTGAGTCTTTAATTTAGATAATACTCTCTTTACTTCACAAAGATATATATATATATATATATATATATATATATATAATGTGTATATCCTATTTTCTCCAAATCCATTTTTGAGACCACACTAGTAATGCTGTTGTTATTATTGTAGAGTTATAGTAAAGAAGAATTTTATTAGGTAAATAAACAAATCATTAGAGAAACAAACAAAAGTATAAATTTGATTAGAATTAAGCAAATTGGATTATAACTCATTATTTACTCTATTTTAATCTCATCCATTTCAATCCATTTTAACCTTACATAATTTAATCAAATTCGGCCATTTGACATCCCAATGTAGAATGTCAAATTAACGGTTAATTGAGTTGCGTTAAGACTTGTTTAAAAGTTATTTGGGTTGAAATAGATTGGACAAAATAAGCGAAAAATTGGGACACAATTCAATATAATTCAATTTTACCAAACTTAAAATTCTTTATTTATTTTAATGTATATTAAATAACAAAAATATTTTTAAAATATTAAAACAAAATTTTCTGATGAATTAATCAGACCTCCATAGTTAAAAAAGACAATTAGTTGACTTTTTTTATCTTATAATTAACAATGAAAAACAGGGGAACCTCTTGTTTCTTCCATTCAAGGGGATGGAGTGAAGGTAAATGAGGTGATTAAAAATCAATGGCCATTTTAAGACAACAAGAAATTAGGCAGTCACACCAAATTAATATAAGTTGTTTTGATTAAGTGCTTTAATAAAGAAAAAATATGTGTTAGTTAATTACAATTAACTATGAGGACTTTATATTGAAATATAAGATATGCATGCATTGACTTATTATGAATACAAATAAGTTTTTATTATAATTTTTCTTCATTTTTTTTTTTAAATAGTAATAATTTTAGTAAATCATCTTATTATTAAGAATAAAATGAAAAATACAAATATAGAATCTATTATTAATTTTTAAAACACACTAAAAAAATATATCACTTAAAATAGGATAAGTAAAGGGAGGAATTTCCCATCTCACCATAGTAGTAGCATGTATAAGAAGAGGCAAAGGTCCATCTATTGCATCAAAAAACCATACAAGAAGGGTTCCTGAGTGAATTTAGCACAACACTCTTCCAACAAAAATAACTTTTAGTGATAATAAATAGACACATTAATAAAGAGTGCTAAAGTCTTTAGTTGCATTAGTTAAGTGCATTAGATTCAATGTCGCTAAAGACTTTAGGGACATATACAAAGAGTGCTAATTGCTGCTAAAAATACATATTTAACGGCAATTGAGCTATTACCGTTAATTAATTTACCGCTAAAGATCATTTTTGATGTAGTGACATGACAAATAGGAAAACATCGCAGAAAGTACTTTAAAAAATTGACCTTATTATTACGATAAATCAAGTTATTAAATATTTTGAATAAATTTCTAATCTTTGTTATCCAATAAAAACCTAAAATTCTTAATAATAAACTAAAATTTCTTAAACGATTAGTTATAAAATGCTTTTTGAGTACACATATATAGTCAAACTAATCAATATTCATAAATTGATTTAAATATCACAATTAATAAAGAAAATTAATTTCTAAACTCAAATAAGCGACGGTAATATGCAACAATGCATGATTTAGTTTTTGATTTTTCATTCAATATCTCATTCATTTTAAAATTCAATTAAAATATACATTTACTATAAAAAATTTACCTTCTAAACCAGTTCATGTTCAAGAACTCGAAAGGTGAAGGTGAACATGGAAACCGCCAAATCATGTTTTTTGGAAAATTTGAGATTTCATCTCATGATAAGAAATCAGCGTGAAATTACATATTCAAACATAATTTCATATCACGATTTGAAATTGTATTTCCAAACGCCTACTAATTCATATGAGTGGAGTTTGTTAAGAGTGGATGTTGTTGTCCTTTTACCTAAACACTAGTCGTGAAAAACTGTTATAACAAAATGGGGATAGTACACAATAGTACCCTTTTCTTTTCTTTATTTACCAATAATAACCTTTCCCTGAATCTTCACTTCCTTGCTATTTTTTCCTATAAAAAGACCCCTCTCTACTGCTACAACTCAATAGGTTAAACCCACCCCCAAATATCTATCTATATAATATTTCTTCTAGCCCCAAATATAGCCCTAACACCCTTTCTCTTCCCCCAAACCCAAAAAAATCTTATTTTGTTCTTTGTATTTGATTTTTAGGTTATATAATTGAAATTGATAGGAAGAAAGGTTGGTGATAATTGTTGACAGAAGATAGAGAGCACTAATGATGATATGCTAATTTCATTCAGCAAAAGCATCTCACTTCATTTGTGCTCTCTATGCTTCTGTCATCACCTTCGCCCTCTTTCGTTTTTTCTTTTTTTCGTACACAAATCTGTGCGAAAGAAGAAGATAGGTTTTCGAATTTGTATGACTACTTTTGATGTTATTTCTTGCTTGGCAATTTTGTCGATTAGATCTGAAAGTGTTGTTAGATTGCTCAATTACTAACACTATTTTGTGAGTTAAATTATGCCTTTGCAGCTATTGATAGACGATACATACTAGCTGCTAACACTAATTTTGTGATTTTAGTTATGTGTATGCCTTTGCAGCTGTTGGTAGACGATCCAAATCTCCTGAGTTTTGTAAGGCACTCAACGAAGGATACTTCATGTTGTTATTAAGCCATGTAATTAACCCTCTACTCTCTCTTAATTATACTCTTTGAATGGTAGTTTAAAAGTAATCACAGTTGATTTAGTTATTTGGATTATGTAATCCTCTTTGAAGCTCGACAAATAGTTTAAACAAAAGTGTTAAACTTTTACTTAGCTTGTTTGCCTTAAGAGATTAACTAGTTACTATGTCTTAATTTTTTCCTAAAGATTGGATTAAGTTTATGCCATGTCTACACTATGTTGTTTGGATTCTCCAAAAATGTACTATTTTTTAGTATGCAACACACATAGTTTGTGAATATTTTTGAAGAGTCCGAGCAATATAACTTTTATATGTCTTTTGATGGATATGTACTCTAAACAAATAGGTACCATTCGTTCTATGGCATATGATAATAGAACTTTGTAGGGCTAAAAGATCATGTCATGTTTAGGAGTTAATATATTCACATGTTACACCAAACATAAATATGGTGTGACAAACTGGAAGACTTTATCTCTGGATAATTAGTTAATCACAATTTTATGGTTATAATCACATGTAAAGTGTAAACTATTTCTTCATCATTAGAGTTATAAATTGCTCAAGTTATGTAGAGATAAAACTGTAATTAAAAAACTAAACTAAAGAAAGAAGGCAAAAGAGCAGAAGAATTCAACATATTTTTGGATCCAAAAGTTAAAAAAAAACAAGGGCCAAAATCTTCAGTTTATGTCTATTCCATTCCTAGTTAGAGATAGTATTTAATGTCATTCAAAATAGATAATTATATATTCACACCCATATAATTGGTAAACTTAAATTGATTTTCAAAATGTTTTGTATCTTCTCTCAAGTCTTTTATACATTTATTGTGATGTATATTATGTTAGTTGTGTTATTTCTCATCATTCTAATAAAAAAAACATTAGAGATGTGACATTATATAAAATAGGGGAAGATGTACATTATTTTGTGTGAGAAAGTTCATAAGTACTTTGTAATTGGAATATCACTAGTATATATGGATGTTACTCAACTTGGTCTTTGTGTGTTTTAATAATAATTTTGAACATTCCCAAGACATGCAGTACACAGTGGCAGAACCAAAAGTTCTGATGAAAAAACATATATTTCCAAGAAGTCTCATAAGTAACACTTAATTACAAGTAATTTGTTTTGATAAGAATGTTTATTGGTGTAGAAGATTGGAGGTATACAGTAAGGGACTAATGAAACTGAATTTTAATAATAATCATTTCAATTGATAATCTATATATGAATTAATTCATATTGTCATTACAACATGGAAAATTTTACAAATGATTTAAAGTTTTCACATACAAAACTTTGAACTTTGTTTTCATGTCCATCTTGTTTCAATAAGGGGAAATAAATAATCTTTTTGGAAGGCATTTCAGCAAGAGGACTAAAAACACAATTTTAACTTCAAAATACTCCTTTTCAACATCAATTTTGAATACTATTTTTCTATTAAAAAATCTCAACCAAATAATTTCCTGAACTTTCTACAAAGGAGAAGGTTAAAATTGTAGTTCCTTCGTTTCAAAATAAGTGGTGTTTTGGCCTGTTTATTTTGTTTTGATAGGAATTGATTTTATTCTTATAAAATTACTCTTGTTTTAATACATGGAATTGTACATCATTATAGAATCACTTATTCTTCAAGGCATTTAATTAGGGGTAAGTAGTAAAACTACTCTTTATCTTATACAAATGAGTAGTTTCTCTAAGAATCAATATGTTCAAGCTAAAAACACCATTTATTTTGAAACGAAGAAAGTAGTCTTTATTCTTTTCAATTACGAAATTCTCTGTGTTCAGCAGGTTCAATCTTGATCTGCACTCTAATTATTATTATTGAGATTGTTTATATCACATTATTTCATTTTAGAGAAGCTAATTAGGTACCTGATTTCTTAACTAAACTAATGTCTTCAACTATTTTTTCCCTATAGAAAAGGTGAAAAAAAAGGAATGTCCTCAACTATTTTTTCCCTATAGAAAAGGAGAAAAAAAAGGATCATTTCAACTAGATATGACAAAGGTAAACTTTTTTCGTTAGTTAATAATATAATTGATAGATATGAAATTGATCATTTATAAAAATATATATCTTCCATAATATTTTTCGAAGACTGAATGTCTCAGTCTTGGATGTTTATATTTTTGGAGATTATAAGTTTAATGTTCCCTTCTTTTCTTTGTTCTTTTGTTGTATGGTGAATTAGATATGATAGTTGTCAAGCCAAATCGCTCAACAACAATGGCACAATATTAGTACTGCAGAAAGAAATTGTAATGACTCGTTTGATTGGGAAATAAGTTTATCAGAAATTAAATTTTTCAAAAATAATTATTTCAAAATTGTTTTTTTACCTTTAATATATTTAAAAATAGTTCTATAATCTTGCAATAACTAATATCAAAATAAGTTATTTCGTAATTTTATCTCAAAAAAGATGAACTTATTCTAAAGTTTATTTTGGAATAAGTTATTTTCTTTATCCCTCGTACTAAGAGAGTGTGTTTGAATTGATTTAAAAGTTGGTCAAACCTACTTTTAAATCAATTTTTGACTTCTGAAAGTGTTTGACAAAAATAAAAAAATAACTTAAAACAAATTAAAAATGACTTAAAATAAGTTATGAAGTATTTGGTAAGGTAAAAAAATGACTTGAAATAAGTCAAAAATCAAAAGTAAATCTCCCTTACTTTTTATTTTTCGACTTAAAAGTTATTTACGTTTAATTTTATATTTTTGACTTAAAAATAATTTTTTTTAAATCAATCCAAACGGATTCTAAATGAGTTCTAAATATGATAAATGAATTGAACACATAAAAGCAGTCCAAAATATGGCCGGCTGAATTTCAGGCTACGTAAGGTGTGACAGTTTATTTTTTCCTTTGTAGTCAAACAAATTAAGTTGGCCGAAATTTTCGGAACGAAACTTTTTCCAAAAAGAGCTCTTTAAACATGCATCTAATAAAGATTTGTTTATTTATTTCAGTAAACATGTATATTGATTAAATTCTGTATTGACTTTATTATGCAAAGTAAAATATACCGTCAAACCTTTCTAGTAATAATATTGTTATTTTCCGAATATCTTTTTTACTGTCATAACAAAATGTTGTTAAGAAAGATATAGAGTATAATGTAATATCAAAAGTATGTTTTTAAGAGAATTTTATCATTATAATGAAATATTATTATAGAGATGTTTTTCTATGTATTAAATAAATATATGCAAGTGTTTATATTAAAAGAGCTTATTGACTATATATTGTCCAATCTTTTGGGACTACAAAGCGTATATGTTTAATTGTTTAATTATGTTTCTCAATGAAATTACAAAATTTATTTATTTTTAAATATAATAAATACACAATTCAAATAAAAAAAGAAATTAAATATAAGAAAAAATATAAAAATTTAATTAAAATAAATAAATATTATGTTTGCTAGTGATGATAAAGATGGTCCGTAGCAACGGTGGTGGTGATGATTGATGCTCGTTGTAATGATGTGTGATTAATGACAATTGGTACGTGGTAGTGATAGTAGTGATTGTAATTAGTAGCTAATGTTAGTAGTATTGACTATATTATGTATAGTGGTCAATGATGTATTGGTAATTGTGATGTTGAATGTGATTAACTAGGTGGTTGATGATTGTGCATGTGAAAATTATTCACACAAAAATATCTTTTAATGATCTGTGTAAAAGTTTTGTTTAGGAAATACTTAATTCTCAATATAAAGATTCTAAAACTTCTATCATTCAAAATCTCTATTATGTGTAAATAAATGAGGCCTCAGCTACGTTAGAGAACAAAAATAGTGTCACTTTCTGTATAATGAATGAACAAAAAAGAGTTATTCCTGTGGTGTGTACCTTTAAGTCCCCCATTCACATCTTTTATGCCCATTCCACAATGGTAAAAGGTAGTGCTAACTGATTTGGAACTATTCATCACACATTCTATTAGCCTAAACAAAACAAACAAACAAAACAAAACCCCAAAAATGAAGCACCACACATACCCTCAAGCCCTAAAGGGGCCACCAATATCTCTCTATGTTTTTATCCTCTTTTTCCTCTTCATTGTTTCTTTCATGGAGCACTTCTGTCCACATTTTATATATATATCTTTAAAAACTTTTTTCTAAAGTCCCCCTTCATTACATTAATTTTTATGTGTCGTAGTTTGACTAAACACATCATTTAAGAATATAGTATAGACTTTAGAATCTTAAAATTTTAAATTAAACATGCATATTATGTATTAAAATGCTTAAATCTTGTGTGATAGTTTTGAACACGTAAAATTTTTAGTAATTTAATTGATTGACTTTAAGTATTTACCTTGTTTATGAAAGTTTGATTCTCGACCTTGTAATTTCTTTTTTCTACCTTCAATTTTTTTTAAAAACTAGTCATCAATATTTTGCATAAAATTTTAAAAAGTAAGATAGATAAATTGAATAGTAATATATACTTTATATATTTGAAACTATTATTAGGAATTTTGAAGTTTCTATTATTTGAAAATATACAAACACGATAAAAGGAAAAATAAAAGACATGGAGAAGATAAAATTGTATGTCCCTACATGTCATATCTTATTAGTACAAATGGAGAATTCCACGGCCGTTAGCCAATCA